CCCCCCCCCCCCCTTTCCCCCCCCCCGTGGCTCTTCTGCCAACTTGAAGCCATAGGGGGGATCACGGCGCAGGACAAAGACGTCCTGAAGCCCGTGCACCGCGAAACCGCACACAACCGTCCCAACCATCATCAAGCGCTTCTCTTTAGTTCTCCTCCCGACGTACACGGTGCTCAGGAGGTCGACAAGTTCGCGCGCTTCCATTCTCTCTCTTACCCCCCCCTCCGTTGCTGGTGTATGACCGTCCCGCAAAACGTCGTCGCCGCCGCCGCCACCTGCACCTACAACGGGTGGCGACATTTGCAGGGACCACTTCTCTAGCCTCCTGGATGGCGCACCACCCCGCGCTCCAGTGGGTGTCGAACTTGCACATGATCGGGCGGGTGGCGGAGGAGGCCCACGTCCTCGACGAGCTGGGGAAGGAGGACTTCCAGCAGATGCTGGGCCAGGGCCCCACCGGGAAGTACGGGCAGACTGCCCCTTTCGCGGAGGAATCGGACAAGGTCATCGACTGTGAGTGTAGTACACGACAGGTTGCGTTTTTGTTTTGTGCGGCTCTCCGTGCTCCAACTTCAGCGACGATCACGAGCCTGACCAGTGTATTGGTGGACCCTCCGCCTCATCACGTATCGAATGGTGTGGTAGACTGGGTGATTAGAATAGGTGAGGGAAGAACAAGAAAAAAACACGCACCGACGCCGCGAGGAAGTACAGGTATCGGATGGAGATGGGGAGGTCTTTGGCACCGTGATGCCGGTGTTTTTTACCGCTTCAATGGGGGTGTTTTGCCATTTTTTCTGTTGTTGCTAGATGGAAGACGCGACGCTTGAGTGCCCCGGAAGGAGTCGTCCCCAATACCTCACATTTTGGTCCAATCGGGAAATCGCCTTGCAGTGTCGGCGTTTTGCGATGGACTCAACGGGCAGAACTTACACCAACGAACAAATAGCAGCAGCATGCTCAAGAGGCCCCGAAACGTTTGACCCGGAATCTTGCGTCCCAGCTTCGAAAGAGTCCAACATTTATGTGCTCGATCAAGACGGAGGGAGGGGGATACCGCTCGCTCCCTGACCCAGCCTAGACGTTTCCTCGCCCGGTGATTCCCTATATCGTACTTCCCCACTAGCCTCGAATATCCTTCGTTGGTTTCGTCGTGCGTCATTTCACCCCCCATCCTTCCCATTCCTCGCATTCTACATCAATTTATCCTTGCAACGCTGTTTTTCGCTACAACGACACGACTGCCTGTGTTGAGGTGCTGCAGACACGCCGCATTGCTCCATCAAGGCGGAGGTGCCCTACAGGATCCTCGACATCTACGGAGATGCGGCCCGCGACGGCAGCAACAAGTACCTCATCCAGCTGAGGGACCCCGTTGCCCGTGCCATCAGCTCGTGGACGAGCAAGTTCGACCGTGAGTTTGGTTTGTTGGCGTAATCTACCTATGGGGGTGTAGAGGGGCTAAGTACCAACAAGGATTGCAATTTACCCGGCATCCGTGGGGAAAATGTTGGCTCTCAATCTGATTTCAAAACATTTAGCAACAAGCTACACCGTATTGACAAAAACTCACTTCCTGAAGTCGCCTTTGAAGATACTCCGTGTAATAAAACGGGTGACAATATGAAATATCGAATCTTGTATATATGGGGATAACGATCGTGGGAGGATCGAGGCAAACGGTAATAAAGTATGAAGCGGGACACTTTCATTCGAAGAAGGAGTTTTTTTAGGGGGTTGGAGATTCACTACCAGTGCGTAGCACACACGTCATGGCGAACACAGGTCCATGCTGTTCCGATGGCGCCGGTGCAACGCGATCCCCCCCCCCGTATCTACAACTGTTGCGAACCAAGGATCTGGTGGTGTATGTGGTTGGGTGGAAAAGGTTATGCGAGGGGCTCCAGAGTCCGCCCCGAGCAAAGAAAAGAAAGAGGACACACACACGACACGGGCAAAGAGCTCACATCTATTTTCATACATGTCCGAAACTTCACACTCTTACTACACGAGTTTTTCTGGGCACGCACATGCAGCTGCTGTCCTGCTGTCAGCAAATAGTGTGGAGGTTCTCGTCCAGCATCGGCCAGAGTCCCGAACCGCACCACAAGTATTTCGCCGGAGACGGAAGAACTTGCAACTGCAGCATAGTGCTTGGTTGGTTGGTTCACGACGAAGTGCTTCCCACCGTTCATTCGAATGAAACAAAACAACAGTCCTTTCCCTCGAGGAGGGCTTCGTCGAAGGAGATTCGGCCGGGGACACGCGTTCCCTTGCAGAGGCAATCCAACAGGGCGAGCATGGAATGGCCGCGCTGAATGACTGCGAGGGCAAGGAGCGACGGCTGGCGGCACCGTCATGGGACCCCGAGCGACAGAAAGTGATGGAGCTTGAAAGGTATTTCGTTGTTTGCTTGGACGGACGTGTTCTACAGTTATGATGTGGGAGCGGCGGTGGTGCTTTTTGCTTGTTGATCCCACACCCCTTAGTTGCTGGGAACGCATTTCGTGTTTTGTGCTTTCCTTAATTCAGAACAGCAGCGGGATTTACGCTGTGAGACGAACAACTTGGGAATGGATTTTCACGCTTGTCGGAGTGTCTGCAAGAATTTTCACTGAACCTACATATCATGGAAATTGAAACTTTACAAAGAAAGTTGGCGCACAGGGAACACTAGACTAGATTTGATGGAACAGAAAGAAAGGCACGATTGGAAACTGCAGTTGCAACAGTGATAATAATAGAGAATGCTACCACTGTAGGTGATAGGGCGAGAAGCCCATCTTGACATTTGAACAACAAGAGGAAATCCAGCACTTTAAAACAAATGTTGAATGTTGAATGAACCAGAGGTATAACTCGTAGGGAAAATTCGAACCGCGGGAGTCAAAGAAGACGGCACGAACCTGGCTCAAACAGCTACACTCACCCACCACACCGTGAACCAAAACCACGCGATCCAGATGTCCAATGAGGAATTTCCTCGGCCATTCGCAAGGACTATACTGGGCCCACGTCGCGAAGGGCATGTATGCCAGGCAGCTGGAGCGCTGGTTCGCTCTCGTTGGGCGAGAAAACATCAAGGTCAGAAACCGTTTTGTACAAGGGATCATCACTTAGATATGGCCTGTACTTGATGAGAACAAATCCTGGACAGGCCATCTGGGAGGGGGAGTGAGAGCGTGATGTAGGGGTCGAAGGAATGAAAAAAATGAATCGAACGTTCAGAGCGCTCGCTGAGGAGTCCCTTTCGTCGGTCGGACTTTCTTGTCTGTTGCTTCACACTTAGCCTTATTGCAAGATGTTACGGTATGTGGGAGAGAGGTTCGAATGAGAGAGAGAGAGAGAGAGAGACCGACAGACAGACAGGTAAACAGATAGACAGAGAGAAACTGAAAATTAATCATTGTTGTTGGGCCGTAGGTGGGGGGGATGTTCCGGTCAACGCCTTCCTCTCATCGTGTTCGTAGGGTACTCGGTTTCGCCGCTGTTTTTCGAGCCCATTTCTCGTCAATTTGCCTTCCGGCAGCCCCCGGCGGCAGTGAAAATGGCACCCCGAACGTGGCACTATTAGCTGCGGTGGTGAAGCGCACGGAGGGTTCGGCAGCAAAGACCGTTTTTCGTTTCAAATGAACGGAATGGAAAAATTGGTCAAGCAAGGTGCTGGGTAGCCTTGGAGCCCACTCTTTTTCCACACTACAACGCAGTAGAAGACACCGCACGAGAAGCTCTCACAGATTGCTTCTATGTGCGGTCTTAAAAGGTCACAACGAACTCACGTACACCCGTACCAGATTTCGTTTTCCTTGATGTATATCCGAACGATTGCGTAGTCTACGGTTGGGGTCAAGGTGTGTCATCGGGTATCAATCATTATTGCCTATCGCCAGTGACAGCCAAAACAAATAATAATGTATGTATTCGGTTACAGTAATGAAACAATAGAAGCAATGACAACAACAATTATTCCACGTCCAGGTGACGTTCCTGGAGGAGACGGCGGCAGATCCCGTTGGAGCCCTTGCAAGCATCTTCGAATTCATCGGCTTGGACCTGCTGGATGAGGAAGGGGAAAAGGTTGGTTACTTCTTATGTCATTGTTTTTGGTAGTGCCGCCTATCCGGCTCGATCCAGACATACATGCGTTGTCCGCAGCATGTGGTGCATGACCGAGCCTCGATGTTTGTTGGACACACCTGGTACATCTCACTCTGGTTTTGCGACCATAGCGACGGCCGATCTATAGATCATCTGGGCATACGCACGCCGTACCTATTTTTGGCTTAAACGGTGACTACTGTAATATGTCCGTTCTCCTGCACGTATCTGGTGAACCAATTAGACTATAGAGAGAAAATTGCTGACTAGCCTGGCGTACAACAATAAAGCGGTTTCAGGAATATCAAGTTTCGAACACGGGGGCTATGAAAAGCGATGGGGACCCTCATGCCCTGGCGGTACGGCGTTACACATCACAATCGTTCACAGTATAGTGGCCAAAGCGCGAAAACCTAGCAGCTCGTCCTTTGGCTCCCTTTGATGTGGTGATCACACCCGCGCGCTGCTTCATGTCTTTCGAACCCCACCACGTGCCACACAAAGATCCGACGATGGATCACCCCTCGCTCCTCTCCGCTCCCCTCTTGGAATCGCCGCAGGGCCTCCCTAACCGCGAAGCCTGGGAAAGTGTCGTGGCCACTGTTCACAACGAAACGGACGAGAAGAGGAAGACCATTCTGGATCAGCAGGTAAGATGTACATACCATCAAGCCCGCACAAAGGCGAGGATCCAGCTTAGTGTTGAAAAAAGGATGCTTTATGCGCAATATGTCCTCTCTTGTGTAGGTAGCATGTTGTTAAAAGCAAGAGAGGAAAACGCTTGTACTGCAGTCTAGGTCGTTTGCGTCTCTTCCCATCGTTGCTTTGCCGCCTTCGCGCGTAGAAGACTGCAGACTATCGCGTCCGCTGAAGCGCCTCATGTTTCGCACCAATGTCCGGATCCTTCGTTTCCCGGGACGTCGGGGGGAGCTGCGTTTGCAACCTCCGATTATTTTTGTTTTCCGTCAGGAGCTTAGACTAGTATGACGTGCGTGGGTCTATTCCTTGATCGTTTTTTTTCCACGGTCGATGCTAACTATTTCAGGGTATGAACCACACACACACAAACAGGTGACGCCCGAACTGCTGCAGTCTATGCGAGACTTCTTTGCCTCCCATAACGCTGAGCTGGAGGAGTTGCTCGGACGACCTTTGCCGGACAACTGGTCGACGGTAGCCTCTGGTTCCCATTAGAGCGAACATGTTTCGGAGAAGTAGACACTGACCGCTACTTCCCACTGAACGATTCAGTAAACCCGACATTGTTTGCCTGTATTACGCGAGGTTCGTGTGCGTGTCTGGAGAGGAACGGTTGGTTGTGCGTCGAAGAATGAATATTTCATAGACCGTGGTTCTTGATGTTGCGTAATCATTGCGCAAAAAAAATGATTGATTGCTGTTGGCAAATGAGAGCCACGGCAGAGCTATCTGTGTACCCACACCCACCCCGTGTTTTTTAAGCGACGCGAATTGCTTTGTACACTCGCATGGCTTGTCAAAATATGAAATATCTTCCGTATTTCGCAGGCTAACGAGCGACTTTGTGGCAGAAGTATTGAGCATCGCCAACGAACATATTGTGCTCGTTGTCGAAATGCACCGGAAGTTGTTCAGCGTCGTGCTATTGAGAGTTCGGGACATGGGCTTGTGGTGCCGTCGCTGTATGCATGGTCCTCACGTAACGCTTCGAGTTTCTGCATACTGAAATACTGTAGTTTGGTGTTGGGAAACAGATCTTGTCATAAAATATTTGTGAGTTCGTTGTGGCCTTTCGATGTGTGTGTGTGTACATCTGTGTCGAAAAGAAGTCTTCTTGTTGGCAAGTGCGTTTGTACCTATAGAAATAATATTTCCTAGCTCCTGCTTTGCAGAGTTCCGCGGCCCGGCCCTCTTGTCTCGCATCTGTCATCCACCGTATGTTGTCTAGACTATGTGTCTAACGTGAAATATTGTAGGCCATGCGTGGCAGACGCCCATCCGGCGGCCGTCCAAGCGACTTATTTATTGTGCTCGTCTCAGAACGCAGGGAGGGCGAGCAAGGGTCCCAAATTGTGTTGTAGCTGCCGCCAGGAAGCGACAGGCTTCGTGGGTCATGGATAGCACCCGCCTAGCATGTGTAATGGTGCGCAGCTCGGTTTAATGTTTAATGGAGAGGACGAGACCCACGGTCAGCGTCGGAGAATGGAGAGCGGGCGTGAATGAAATGAGCTTGGTGTTGTGATCGTGGACATTCACTCGTGGCTGTTCGTCGAAGAGAACAAGATGCCAATGGATTGAGCTTACTGCTGTGATCACACCGGGGAGATTCATTGGTGCTGACTAATATTGTTCGTGTCCTACAACAGATCAAGATCCTCTTTGGGGCACATATCGTTGAGGCTTGTTTTCCGTCCGTTTAGCAATCATGTGCGGCATCCGTCCCCGTCCGTTAGATGTGTTTTCAATGGTGCACCACGTTTTTCGTTGCATCATGACAAAAACTCCGCACGGCTAATGCTGTAGTAGCATCGCATTCCCATGCACCTCGGGCTCTGGACCGGACAGAATGGCGGCATACGTATTGAGTTCCCGTTCGTCTTTCACCGACGAAACTCTTGCAACATCGATGGACAGAGCAAACAATATACCGCGACGGAGAACCACAGCTGAGTCGGTACAGCTCGATGGACAGGGGTACAGCAGAGGCCCCTCAAGAACGCCGATAAGTGCCCCGCGAATCGACAGGCGCAATACAAGGTCACCGGCATTCTTCAACGGGCGTTGTTTAAGGGCCCACTACTAACTTTATCCCAAGGTCAAAGTTGAGACAGAAGGCACTCGTCACGATCCTTGCAAGTATGTGCTCAAGATGTCGCCAGTGTCACTACTACAACTGCCCATATTTCACCGGAGATTTGCAGTAAGAGTGGATGAGGAACCGCTCGCGGGAAAATGTGAGCCGCAGCATTCCCCAGTGGTGCCGCGCTCATGGAAGACACGATTAAACATTCCTCCATGATGCATTAATTCGAAACAAACCAAAGTGACTCACTTTCCCACACTCTTTACCAATCATAACATTCATTCCCACGAGATGACCCCCCAATCAAAATCAGAAACCAACCCCCCGAAAGAGAGGACGTCGGGCCGCCGCCCCGCTCATGCGCGCTACCGGTGGTTACGGGCGGAAGGAGAGACGAGACCAGGAAAACCAGGAAGCGCTGCGAGGCATCTTCCCGACCGCTACCGTGTGTGCCCCGGCTCAACACCGACCGACCCATCACGCGATACTTGCCCCCAAGGCTGCAAGAATCTTCGAGACGACCCCCAGGCTACCAAACTTTCACTCTACGATGACCTGCTACAGGTGTCGACCAAGCTTCTACAGTGGAACAACGTCCACAGAGCGAACCACGTCAGATCAACAGGCGCCAGAGACAACAACAGGCCAGTGAACCTGTTCGCGACGCGGTGACACACGACAAAAAGCGAGCGCTGTCATTTTCCGCTTCTTTTTGTTCTCCGTCCGTTTTTTTTTCCCTCTCGCGCCCCGTTCCACCGCATCCGGGAAACACGGGCTGAAAACAAGCAACAAAGCGAAAGAGACGGTACCACCGTAGCCATCGCGCTCTTCGCGGGGAGAGAGACTCGAGAAGAGCACTAGATTCAGAACAACCGAGCGGGAAAAGAGCTGCTACTTACCACTTACCTACTGCTTCAACAGACCAATAGGAGTACACCGCGAGTCAAGGCAAGCGCAACTCAACAGACCAGACCATGGCCAACCAAGAAAGACCGCCGTGAGTCAAAACCAACACTACTCGGGCTCCACAATCGCCCCACACACAACCGCCCGCCCGTCGACACCCCCGAAATCAAGCTTCAGGTCGGTAGCTGCTGCACCCTCCGGTGCTCGCAGACCATCTGTACTTCCTCCCGCCGTTGCTCTTCCAACTCATTCGCGTCACCCACCCAGTGCTGTCGGGAGAAAAAATCAATCAACGCCGCCATCACCACCGCGACGGTATCGCGGGTACACACACACACACGCAACAACGACAACGATCTTCATCAACCGCCAATCGTCTCCCCCGAGGGTGACCCGGGAAGACGGGTCAGACGGGCCGCCACATCACCGCAACATGTGATGTCTGACCAACACCCCGGTCATGGCCGGGGGGGGGGGATACAGGGGCTTCAGCCCCGAGACAGCGATGGGCGTGACTGAACCGTTACAAAGTCAAAACCGATTAGTACTTGCCAAGCCTCGAGAGGGCGGGGGCAACAAAAAGGAAATCGAAGACGACGTCCGACCACCACCCCATGCTTTTTTTTCTTTCTGTATATGTACTCTCTCGTGGTTTCTGGGCAGGGAGGAAAAGGGAGTTGTGGTAGGGGGCACCGCAAAATCATCACAGGTCGTCGTCCTCGTCGGGGAGGGGCACCGCTGCGGCCGCGTCGATCTCCTGCTGGAACTTCAGCTGGTCCGCCTGGTTGATGACGAACTCCGGTGGCTGAAGCGCGGGTTGCTCCACGAACTGAAGGTTTGCGTCTCTGCAACAAGAAACCAACGATTGTTACGTTTGTATGCGCAGCAGCATGGGTTCGAAAGAGTTTGAAGGGGTAACAAGCAGAGCATTATCACCTAACGACGAGCGTTGAGCAAGCAAGACTATATGACTTGCTCGTCACCAACATGATTACAAGTCGTCAACGATCTGGTTCGCACGTCCCCGCCAAGAGCCGAGGATGGTGGTTTTGCTATGATACACATTGGGGAGAAAAAAAAAAAAGGACAGCCAGCACACCGCTACACTACCCGATTGACCAACAAACAGATGCGACAGCAAACAATCTGATGGGGGAAACACATGCACCCGTGCATTGTGCACGATCCAATCGGCGGGAGGAGCAAGCATGTCATAAATCCCGAGATATAAACACCACTCCGAGTACCATCCGACACCATCCACCATCCGCGGTATCACGCAAAAACTCATGTCTCAACGAAAACCCACTCAGGCCACGACTCCACATTAAACAACTACCAAGCGCCTCGGGACAAAACTCCCAACAGAGCACACAACAATATCGTGGACAGGGGCGTTTCAAGGTACACGACTTCATGGCTCGCGCCCCAAAAAACAAAATATTTGAGGGGTGGCGCGTGTGTGCCTGGTACCAATAAACTATAAATAGCTGAATTCGCATCGAATTGAGTGCAACGAGTCAGCTCAAGGCGCACGCGCGTTTCCTGACCAAGCGGGTCTCATGTGGAACCACTCTGTGGCAGTATCGTAATTTACCGCCCTCTGATCCGGACAGACTGCTTGGATCACCACGATTTCTCTCAAGAATTTTTGATAAAAAGGCTTTCCTCTCGCTCTCGCTACGCGGCAGTACTGCTGTTGTCTTATCATCTGCGAGCGCGTTTGTTTGAGGATCTTCTACGGAGTCAATTTCCCATCTGATTTCTCCAAGTGTGTAGTGAACCCTGCTTCGGAGACGTTGGCCTGTGACCACGAAAGCAGGCCCAACCAGGTGGACCAGTGCGGATCATAGAAGGTACTGAGTAGAGCCGGACCGGCCGTCAACGTGAAGACAACAATAACACCAATAACAACAACAACAACAACTGCCACTGTTGTAGCGCCCCCTCACCCGACGAGCTTCTTGGCCAGCCACAGGAAGGGCTTCTCGAAGTTGTAGTTCGACTTCGCTGAGATGTCGTAGTACTGCAGGTTCTTTTTGCGGTGGAACGTGATCTGCTTTGCCTTAACCTTGCGGTCCTTGATCTCTACCTGCACAATGCAAAACAAAACACGACGACGAAATACGCGCGGTGCGGGGAAGGCGCGTACGTGAGAAGGCTTAGATTCCGTCGGCATCCAACCCAGAAACGCGAGCGCATCAATCTGCGCAATGAAAGTCTTCTCGAGTGAGGACAAATAGTACATCACCTTCCAAAAAATGTGAAGGAAAGCCCTTCGCCGTATCCCGGCTCGATTGGCCACAACGTCCCAAGCATGCGCAACGTGTCATGGCACCGGCATCAAAGCGCTTTCCAAACGTCACCATGTGCAACATCTTACAGGCATGCAACCCGCGGGATCAGAACAAACACGCGAGCGTGTACACCAACACAAAATCACACACAACAACCCTTTCTTTCGTTTAGACGGAACATGTGCACCCGTTCTGGCATTCCGATTTTTGTTGTCCGCGTGCGTGTGTGATGATTTGCCCCGACGAAACAACGAAGCGATTTCGACCCAAAAACATGGGTCCCCATCTCCAGTCGCTCTCTCGCCCCTCTCTCTGCTTGTCGACAAAATTGACGGCTCCAAATCTGCTGGTGCTCATCTCTCACCTAGCCTAATGTCTGCTGCAAAACACAACAAAAGACTTAGCAGCGTTGGGATATCGGCTTGGATGAGGAGCCTACTACAACTCGACCCCCGACTCAGCAGTGTAAGAAGGACGACTCACAAGAGCGCAGAAAAGCCGAAAAAAAAAACGAGTTGAGGGACCGCAGGTAAAGGCGTACGCACCTTATTCCCGCACAAAACGATCGGGATGTGCTCGCAGACTCGCGTCAAGTCTCGGTGCCAGTTAGGCACGTTCTTGTAGGTGATGCGGCTCGTCACGTCGAACATGATGATCGCGCACTGACCCTGGATGCTGCGCTCACGGACAGACAAGGGCAGTTGGCATAGGGGGGAGGGGAGGGGGAGGGAGGGACGAGAAAAGATACGCAAAAAAAAAAAGCCGCGTCAGGTTAGAGGTACTTTCCGTCACCCACAGTAACCATGTGGAGCAAAATATCAGATTCAGACTACACCAATCGTCCGAACAAGTCTCTCGAGCCAACGGTTGGAGATGGCCTCTCAAAGTCATAAACGTCACCACAGGCTATAACGAGGCCGGACAAAACGATAGACCACCACACGGCCCAGCAGGCCTACATCGCGGTGATACCCAGGGATGCCGTAAACAACAGTACAAGTAGTACGTGGCATCGGGGTAAAATGTGGGCCTGTGACGGGAGGGTAGAAACTGCAGGTTGCGGTGCTCGAGGATGAACACTACGCACAAGCCCCCCCTTACGTAAGCCACAAGACTTTGTTGACGCGGTCGTACGTGATGTTTCCTTGACATGTGTTCAGAGTGGTGCTTAAGAATTTGTGGACGTGATCCCCCGCTGCCGTGGATGCCAATATTACATCATCCCACCAAAAACTGCCAAAAACTGTCAATTCGGTAGACGCCAACGTCGCAGGCCACACGCCTCCAAAGTCCGACAGCATCGGTCCACTCACTAGTATCCGTCCCTAAGCCCGCCGAACTTCTCCTGCCCTGCGGTATCCCAGACGTTGAACTTGATCGGCCCGCGGTTGGTGTGAAAGGGGAGAGGGCGCACCTCCACGCCCAGTGTAGCTGAAACAAACAGACGAGCAGGGAAAGGTCAGAAAAAGCAAAAACAGAGCAATCGAAGGAATGTGTACCACAAAAACCAAGCTGCGCTCTGTGTACGCATGTGTTTCGGGGCCACCTGCGGAGCTAATTCCCACAGCATCAACGCTCCATTTTCCTTGTGAGCGACAAGACGTGAAAGACGAACACCCGCACACAAGGACGGGATTGGTACACTTGCGGGAAGCACGCGGGGAAAAAATACCGCGGGGCAACCGCGGGACGGCAGAAGCAGATGCGGTCACATCGCACCGCCACCACCACCTCGTTTCAGGACGCTACCTCACGGGCGGCATGGACGGACCACAGCCCACACCGACGTCGGTGAGGTAATCCCTCACCATCTTCTGTTGCACGGTACATTGCTGCCCCAAGCCACTCTCGGGCACAACTCCCATCATGCACGGCCGACGAGTGACGTCGCACCCACCTACCACTCAAACGCCGTCGGGGGGCACCACCGCATGCTTTCCCGTTAAAACTAGCGACTCCCGCACCATGATGACGGCGTGAACTCCCCCCCCCCC